CCGCCTCACAATGGTGAACATTTGTGCCAAGTAATATTGAAATCCCTCTATACATGTGGAAGTTTTGCTCCAGACAAGCATTTTCAATGAGCTCTAAGTGTGACCTTGACCTTTGACCTAGAGACCTGGTTCATGTGCGCGACACTGCTCCTCATAGTGGTGAACATTTATATGAAGTTTCATTAAAATCCCTCCATACATGTAGGAGATATGCTCCGGACAAAATTGGACGCCGCCCGCCCGCCCGCCAGGGGCGTTCCCATAATACGTCCCGTTTTTCAAACGGGCGTATAAAAAGCTGAAAAATTTAAATCAGAAATCTTGAAATTCAGGCTATTTGTTGCCATAGCAACCAGAATTTTCAACATAGGAAGAAAAGAAAAAGATGTGCATAATCTCGAGACTGCCATCTACCCATATTTCAAGTTTCATAAAAATATTTTCAGTACTTTTTGAGTTATCACTGGATCCAGTTTATGTGTTAAATTTGCCATATTTTCAGACTATTTGTTGCCATAGCAACCAGAATTTTCAACATAGGAAGAAAAAAAAAGACGTGCATAATCTCCATACTGCCATCTATCCATATATCAAGTTTCATAAAAATATTTTCAGTACTTTTTACGTTATCGCGGGATCCAGTTTTGTGGACGGACGGACTGACAGACAGACGGACAGACAGACGGCCGGAGGGTAAACCTAAAGTCCCCTACGGTTAAACCGGTAGGGGACTAACAAGCAAATTCGTTGAATTTATATCCCCCGCCGAGTACTGGTTATTACTAACACAACAACTGAAGACATAAGGCTTTATTTATATATTTATCATGGCATAAACTTACTACTGTAATATTCTTTGAACTTGATAAATATTCAGGGCAATAACAGAGCCTTAACTCTGTGTTAAATAGTAATATCTGGAAATGCCAATGAGATGTATGCATACTGCATAACTAATCAAGGGCCATAAATCTGAGTTATAAGTGTCTAACCGGAACAAGGCGACTATATGCACATCTCCTCTTCGTATCCCATAAAGTTTCATTGAATTCCAACCAGTAGTTACAGAGATTTTAGTAGCACGGAAACGATTATTGCTCTGGTTGTATACTGCATAAGTTATCAAGGGCCATAACTCTAAGTTAAAATGTCTGACCCCAACAAGGCGACGATATGCCCATCTCCTCTTGGTATTGAAGGTTGCAATAAAGTCTCATTGAATTCCAGAAAGTAGTTGCAGAGAAGTAGCGCAGAAAGGAATATTTTTCTATATGCATACTGCATTACTAATCAAGGGCCATAACTCTGAGTTAAAGTGTCGGACCGGAACAAGCCGACGATATGCGCATCTCCTCTTGATATTGATGATTCCCATAAAGTTTCGTTGAATTCCAGCCAGTAGTTGCAGAGAACTAGTCCGGAAACGAAATTTGGACGGACGGAAAGACGGACGGACAACGCCAAAACTATATCCCGCTCCCGATTCCATCAGCAGTATCGAAGGTTCCCATAAAGTTTTGTTGAATTCCAGCCAGTAGTTGCAGAGAAGTAGCGCAGAAACGAATATTTTTCTATATGCATACTGCATAACTAATCAAGGGCCATAACTCTGAGTTTAAATGTCTGACCCCAACAAGGCAATGATATGCGTATCTTCTCTTGGTATTGAAGGTTCCTATAAAGTTTTGTTGAATTCCAGCCAGTAGTTGCAGAGAAGTAGCGCAGAATTGAATATTTTTCTATATGCATACTGCATAACTAATCAAGGGCCATAACTCTGAGTTTAAATGTCTAACCCCAACAAGGCAATGATATGCGTATCTTCTCTTGGTATTGAAGGTTCCCATAAAGTTTTGTTGAATTCCAGCCAATAGTTGCAGAGAAGTAGCGCCGAAACAATTTTTGCTCTATATGCATACTGCATTACTTATCAAGAGCCATAACTCTGAGTTTAAGTGTCTGACCCGCACAAGGTGACGATATGCACATCTCCTCTTGGTATTTAAGGTTCCCATAAAGTTTCGTTGAATTCCAGCCAGTAGTTGCAGAGAAGTAGCGCAGAAACGATTTTTGCTCTATATGCATACTGCATTACTAATCAAGAGCCATAACTCTGAGTTTAAGTGTCGGACCGGAACAAGCCAAAGATATGCGCATCCCCTCTTGATATTGAAGGTTCCCATAAAGTTTCGTTGAATTCCAGCCCGTAGTTGCAGAGAAGTAGCGCAGAAACGATTTTTACTCTATATGCATACTACATAACTAATCAAGGGCCATAACTCTGAGTTAAGTGTCAGACCGGAACAAGCCGACGATATGCGCATCTCCTCTTGATATTGATGATTCCCATAAAGTTTCGTTGAATTCCAGCCAGTAGTTGCAGAGAACTAGTCCGGAAACGAAATTCGGACGGACGGACGGACGGAAAGACGGACGGACAACGCCAAAACTATATCCCCCACCCGATTCCATCGGCAGGGGAAAATAAAGTCTAAATGCTCTACATAGTGTACAGCACAATATTATATACATGACTTTGTTTATGCCACATTCTTGAGGGTGTCAAAGTCTTGAGCTTGAAGTCAAAATCGGATAGTAAATGGACCAATGGCGACATAGGAGACAAGTGCTCTCGACCAATCAGACAGCAGCTTCTATATCCCGTGTTTGGTATGAAAACATATACTAATATTCGGCAGTTTTTCGACTTATTTTCTAATATTTAGTTAAAAACACACATTATTTCAGTTCATATTGATATATAGTCTATAACTATAGATAATTTCGCCATTTATAATGTATATTTTTAGCAAATACAGCAATATCTATGTCTAACCTCGGGAAAAGTTTAGGTTTTTCATGAACATGTAAATAAAAAAGAATTTTCTATAGATATCCCATAAATATTACACTGTAAATTGTGTTACAACATTTCTTTTGAAAACAAAACAAAAGAATATAATGGTTAAAAAACATAACATAACACTTTTCGTACTTCAAGCTCAAGACTTTGACCTATGACCCCTTCGGGAATGTGGCATTAACAAAGTCATGTATATTATATTGTGCAGTACACTATGTAGAGCATTTAGACCTTATTTATGTTAAAACTTTGATTATTTACATTATAAAAACAATATATTCATCATTATTCTCTATAGATACATTAGTTAGCTAAGTTAAATTTAGATAATTAACTTATTTTAGTTTATTTATTAATTTGGTTTGATTTGTTTGTAGATTTGTTAGGAGTGTATATAAGAATTATATGTATATCAAGCTAAATATTGTTTATATATATCTCAATTATTTGGAAGTAGTCTGAATTTAATATTTAAACAGTCCGTGGACAGGTTTTAACCCGATGTTTGGCCAATCCACACGCTCAGGTCCGCCTGCCCCCAATCTGTTTTTTTATTGAAATTGTTATATACAATTGAGATTTTACATTATATATTATATGATATATGTTATTTTTATTTTGGAATAGCAAGGGAACCTTGAGTCAACCAGAGCTCCTCCCGGTAACGGTTGACACAAGTATCCCCCTCCCTGATAAAACAGGGCGCTGCTGGGGTGCCCGAGACTGACTTTTGCCGTCCTCCTCCTGATGGAATGGACCTGAAGGAAAGCATAGGATGTCCCTGAACCCCCGCCTTACCAAAAGTAGTCATTTTTATATTTAGTTTGGGGTATAATTGGATAATTATATGCTGTATATGTCTGATAACATAGAAAATGATAGAATATTGTGCGAATTGACCAAAGATAATCTAATATCTAACCCCGATATATGCTTTATTCATTATTTCTAGTATGTTTACATTACAATAATGCAGAAAGGTGGTGAAATAGAAGATATAAGCTAATTATTATTTATTTCAAAGGGGAGAGTGGATAACTTCATTGATTATTTAGTAAATATTTGGTAATATAAGCCCTTTAACTGTATATTTTAACTAATTATTAGTTAAATTTATACTGTGAAGTCATTAAGAACATATTCAAATTTAAATTTGGTCTATCCTACTATAATGAGGTTTACTAAATTAGTTGAAGTTACAACATGTAAGAGATTTAGTGCAAAGTGGTTTATTTGAGTTCTTTCCCTTGGACTGCTCATAGTCACTTATTGGAGCTTATTGTATCTGATATAGAAATTTGGGCTTTATAGAAAAATAGCCATGACATTTTTATTTTTTTATGAATTTTGTTGGGATTTTCTTTTTTTAGTCATTTATATGTATCTGTTAATTAATATAATAGATATATATTGGTTAACTTGGGTATTTTTAATTCCTAGATGGATATAATTGGGTAAAATTTTCAAATTTTTTATTGATTTAGTTTATTACATCAGTATCTTATGCCTCATAGGAAATTTGCTGATACTTTTTTATTTTTCAGTGAAATTTGTTGGAATTTCCTGTTTTATGTCCAGTAGATATGTCTGATAACTATTATACTATCTTTATGTTTTTTATTACCAATATTACAGTTTAAGGGACGTTTAATTTAGGTGAAATTTCCCATTTAAAGGTGATTTGGCAAATTTCTTGTAGAAATGTATGCTGTATAGGAGAATTGCTATAACTTTTGAGGTTTTTGAAGGAAGTAGTTGGGATTTTTATTATTTAATTACTAAAATATATATGTTAATAATTATAACAAATTTATTAAACCTTGTACACTCTTTATTTTTTTCCTGAGGGGTTAAGAAATGGGTATTTAACCCAATTTATACAGAATTTTATGTATGTAATTTGGAATATATGCAGTATAGAAAATTGGTTATAACTATTTTGTTTATAATTGTATTATACTGGGGTTTTCTTCTATTGGTCAGTAAGGTATAGCTGTTAATTATTATTATGTTTCTAGATTATCATATTAACTCTATAAAATTTCATGAGAAGTTAGGATTGGGTAAAAGTTTCCCATTACTCGGTGATTTTGTGTGCTGTGAAATAATTTATTACATTTATATTGACACCACTTACCTGTTAAGAACGCCATGTCACCTTTTCTAAACACATCAGACGCAATCTTTTTGTCACTAGCTTTCTTACAAACATAGCCATCAAATTGTCTGAGTGGATCTCCAACAACAATTCTTCCTACCAGTTCTCCAGGCTCTCCTGATGTACGAGATAAATGTTATATTTCATGATTCATTCATTTTAAATTCATGATATGTTCGTGATTCATTCATTGTTAATTCATGATATATTCATGTATAAGATAAATGTTATTTATGATTA